ATGCTGTCTGTTTCCAGCAGGTATAATCTCTCAGAATGAAAGAGAAATGAGAGACCCCAAACCTGTCACATGCACTTTAAGACACTGTGACAGTGTTGTGCATTGTAGTCTTGTGCTGTTCAGTCTGGCAATACATCGGTTGTAGGGAGTATTATACCTGTCATGATGTGGCATAGAAATACCAATTGTGATAATACTTTTATGTTGATATTTGAACATGCAGCAGACATAGAGTAAGTTCTGTTAAACAAAGACTTCATGTACTAGTTAAAGTGTCACTGTGGTTGCTCAGGGGCACAACATCACTCACTAAGATCCACACCAGACCATTAGCAGTGTTCAACCATGTAAAAGCAGCTTCATCAAACCTAATGAGAGTGTGAACGTGTCAGAAACAGACAGCACTTTATTTTTTTACTTTTTTGCTTTTGAAATGGCCACAGTAAAGTTAGTTCTTCCATTTATACTGTGACCTGAATAATCATGATTATTGATTAACCAAATAATCTGGACTTCCCTAGTACGTGCCAAACAGGAATTAACAGCACATCATTAACATCTGTCACGGGACTACAGATGAAAAACAGCCTCCATATCGAATTCTGTCATATTTACACAAATGTTCATTCAAATGCACTGTTTGTAAAATACATCAATAAATTCTGATGTCCAAACTCAGTCTAAAATTAAGATTAGAGTCTTAGAGTTTGGAATCTTAATAAAATATGTTTATTTTTTCCCCTTTCTGTCACTGCTACGAACACCAGAGGAGTATTACAATTCTGTGGAGTAGAGCCCAACCGATATATCGTTTGGCTGATATTATCAGACGATATATTTGTTGACAGGGGCCGATATTTCACGTGGGCATGTTATACCTCATTATAAAACTTAGACTCTCTACATTATATTGTCCAATTTACAGACAGATAAATGTCCTAATATGTGGCTCCGCATCAGAATTTATCTGCAGAGTCATTTGTCTGTGTGTGTCCGTACTGTCCCTGAACACACTCACGTCATCCGCAGACATAGATCCACGAGCAACACTAGGATTATTTTCTTTTTACTGACAATCGGTTTGAATCAGAATTAAAAGGACATTTATTAGTGCAGACTTGTGATGTGAGAGGAGCCTGTGTGAGCGCTGAGTGTTGGAAATATGTCGACTTTGAAGCTAGTTTTGGTTTGTTCTAATTAGCGTTTAGTGGTTAGCGATTAGCTGCTGTAGCTCCCACACATAAACAGGCTGTTTTCTATTGGTCTATTGTAAAGTGACTATATTGGCCGTATATTTGCTACTGGACCTGCATTGATATGTAAATGAGCTGTGAACAGACGTATGAATTATGATAATAATTATTTAATTATATGACGCATATAATTAATTACCGCGGCACGCACGTATTTATGGCTAAAGGCTAATAGTGGTAGTTTCTTTAGTAGCTAGTAGTTATGAGTCGGTCGCGAACGAAACGGCTCTTAGATCCGGCTCTTTGAAGCAAACGACGGGAGCCTGCTCCTTATTGGGAGCCACGTTTTCTCTTTCTCTCACTTTTTTTCTCTTCATGTCATGTGCAGACCAGTGGTAGTTTGAAAGCGGCAGCGGCTCAAAACGAAACTTTCAGATATATGTGTGTGCATAGGAGAGAAAAATGTGCATGTTTGTGTGTAGGGGAGACAGATAGAGACCAAGTCCCGACACTCAGTCCTGGTTCAGTTCTGGTTTAGTCCTGTTTTACACATGGTTTAGATCTGTTTTAGTCCTGGTTTAGTTCTTTTCAGTCCTGGTTTAGTCTTGGTTCAGTTCTGGTTTAGTCCTGCTTGCAACAAAACAATCTGAAGAGCCGCTTGGGACCCAAAAGAGCCAGCTGCTTTTAGTGAGCCGAGCCAAAAGAGCCGCTTCTCTAAAAAGAACTGAAATACCCATCACCAGTAGCTAGAATGTGATGCAAAAATGCCATTAGGCCGATCTACTGTCTGTAAATATGACATAAAGAGTCAGAATAACAGTAAATGTTGCCTAAATAAACACAATTTAAAATCCACTAGAGCCAAACCTAAGTTTTTTTTTAAACAATTCAAGATTTACAGTGAATTTTTCATCACTAAATATATCTGTGATTATCGGCCACAACAAAATCCATATCGGTCGGGCCCTACTGTAGAGTATTATATATAACACATAAGATATTTAGATCACCATGTTAACTTTTATTGTTCTAAAATTCTAAATTTGCCAAAAACAATGAATGACCATGTTTTATATGTTTGGCTTTGGTTTGTTTCTCTTAAGCTCTGAGTCGCTCCCAATTCCCAAAAGTTTTTTTTACATCACTATCATTAAACAAGAAAATATTTTGGTAATAATAATACAGTGAACAATTGAAATATGTATATGTTTATCATGTTAGAATGAGCCATCAGTCTTTATTCATGTGTTGAAGAAGAGAAATTCCATGTTCATATCTGGTTTGCTGTAGTTGTGTCTTTATTGGTTGGAAGTTGCATGTTGGAAGCAGCAGATGGTGAACTTCTGACACTCATGGTGTCTGTGGAGCAAGCTGACCATGAGCAAAGGTATAGCAAGCATTTTATACACAAAGAGGTGGGGAAAGTCTGCAGATTAACATTTGGTGCAATTTCACAGCAATAACAAAGAACCTTCATAAACCCCCTTTTGGTAAAACAGTGGTCATTGTTTCAAAAGATGAGCATTTCAAGTACAGCTGAGATAAGGAAGGACAGCCGCTGGGGGCCACAGGTGAACACCCCAGGGCCTCTGATGGTGTCATGGGTAAAGTCTTTAAGTGTAAAACACATCACATGTATTCGTTAACCAGGATGAGAACTAAAACCAGAGAATAATTACTTTTCTTCCACACATGCTAAAAGCCACACACTAAATATTAAATATTAGCTTTATCAAGGTAGATGAAAAAAAAAAAACTTGCAGTAAAAACTTAAATTTTAATTGATGCAAGATAATTTGGCCCAATTCATCTGGAAGCTTGAGGGCCAAGAAAAATGTGTCTGAGGGCCGCATTTGGCCCACAGTCCATAGTTTGGACATGCCTGGTCTAAAGAAAGAGGGTCTTTTATTATCACAGTGGTATTCAGTCTATTTCTAGTATCAAAGTCACAGTTGAGTCAAAGTCGTAGCGTGACAGCACTGACTCTATAATGTCATAATTCCAGATGGATGATTGGGGCCAATATCCCTCTGTGGGAGATACATTGATTTTGTTCCACAAATGTTGAGCTTTTTCATTATTTGTTTGAGATCAGCTCTACAAAGAATAATGACACCACTCAAAACAGTTGATGTTTATTTACAGTGACAGAGAGGACTCTGAACTTTTTTGTCAACAAATCTGCAGTCTGACAGTTCCACAACATTTGAGTGTTTTGATCTGTCTTCAGTTCAGTTTAAATGATAGAGATTGAACAGTGTTGAATCATCAGGTGAACACAATCACATGAGAACTGTGGTGTTCATTTAACAGACTTTATCTCAGAAAATCAATGCCATGTTTCTGTGAGGGCCAAAAGAGAGGTGACACTTTTGATTCTGAGAATTTCATCTGGTCAAAAGTCCACTGTGACGCCCTGTTTGTGGCCCTGTCTGGTGCATCATGCTGCAATACTGTGTCATAAGGAAGATACTAGAATACCAGATAAAAGAGCAGACCGGACATTTTACATTCATCATATCTATCTCTCTCTCTCTCTCTCTCTCTCTATATATATATATATATATATATATATATATATATATAGAGAGAGAGAGAGAGAGAGAGAGAGAGAGAGAGAGAGAGAGAGAGAGAGAGAGAGAGAGAGAGAGAGAGAGAGATTTTCAGAAAATAAGAGAACATTATCCTTTAAAGCATGAGTTGCTAATCGTCCATTCAAATTGTGATTGTGATTCGATGGTGATTCATCTTGCAGTCTTAGTTCTCATGGGATTGGACCACCAGCACTGACCACTACCTGTCCTGATTCACCTGCCCATGTGTCTATCCAGGGTCAGGAATAATTTTGGAGTGATGAAAAAGAAGAGTTAAAAGAGTTAAAAGATAATATTGATTATTGCTGAAATGTTACTGTAGTTTTTGGTATTGTTTACATTTCAACTAGTGATCTCCAATATAGTAACCATAATATAATATTAGGCAAAGCTTTCCAAAGTTTCCTCCGCAGGGTGGCTGGGTGCTCCCTTAGAGATAGGGTGAGGAGCTCAGAGTAGAGCCGCTGATCCTCCATGTGTAGCGGAACAGCTGAGCGGCAGGCATTTGTTCCTGATGTCTCCTGGGCGTCTCCCTCAGGAGGTTTTCATTTCCCACCGGGAGGAGGCCCCAGGGAAGACCCAGGACACCCTTCAGGGACTATGTCTCTGGGCTGGCCTGGGAACACCTCAGGGTCCCCCCGGAGGAGATGGAGGACGTGTCCAGGATGAAGGGAGTCCCTACTTAGATTGCTGCCCCGGCGACCAGGCCCCGGATAAGCGAAAGAAAATGGATGGAAGGGGTTATAATATTATTACCTCCTCTAAAACACACCTGGAGTTGTGTTTTGTTTCATTCACATGTTTGAGTAACTCTTTAATATCAGTCTGTCTACATCTCCAAAACTCAAAATGCTCTGTTCCACCTTCTGATGTTTTCAAGTTGACAGATCCTTTTACCTTAAATTCAGTAGAGATTGGCAATTCCCAGACTGAAATGATCAACATGATTCTAGTGAAGGTGTATAGAGTTTAAAAACAGAGTGGAGCACTTCCTATTTTACCACATGACATCACAGGGTGGAACAGAGTGTTTTCTGTCTGAGAGAAGAGCTCGACCTAAATGTGCAGGTCCAGGTCTGTTTATGATGATGTAACGACATTAGTACATAGATCAGAAAACAGTGTAGTCTAATCTGGCCACTCTACCCAACTCCAGTGATTTTAATAGAAATGATTAATTATTTCTAAACATTGTATTAGAAATAATTAAGCCGCTAAAATAAATAAAATGCATTTAGAGCATGTGTCTCCTCCTCCTGTGTCCCTGTGTGCTGTGCTGGGCTTTGTGAAACACTCACCTTTGTCCTGCCACACGCTCTTCTGTGCAGACTTTGGAACCGGCCCGACACACTCACGTCCCTGTGCCTAATCTCAAGTCATCTCCGAAGAAGCACCACGCCCGGACCTATAAAAGAGCCAAGACAGAGGTGCCAGACCCGAGGAACACTCCGACCGTCCGTACGTCTTTTCCCGGAGCTTACAGAGCTAAAGGCCGCCAACATGAAGCGTGTGGCGGGGACCAAGCTCTGCCTGCTGCTGCTGCTGGGCTCCTACGCGCTGGCCCGTGAGTAACTACTGACCTACACATAAAACACACATCTGAAGAGTAATAATAACAATAAAATCATGGGTAACACTTGATATTAGGGTACACTTATTAACATCTAACAACCTGCTAATTAACATAGTTGTAGACGGTTAATTTATCATTAATTAGTATTTATTCAGCCCTTAATAATGTCTAATTCCCCATAAGTTTATTCTGTTATTAGTTAGACATTTACAAACACTTTCCTATTAATACACTCCTTATTACTGCTTATTAATATGATACTAAGCCATGATTCTAATGAGCTTTTGGTAATAAGCGTGTTGTTAAGGACTAGATGCAAAAGAAATGTATTTTTTACTTATTTGCACTTAATACATGTAGCTTACTCTTGTGTAGTAAAACACTCTCTATTAAGTGTTAATAGAGTCCAACTAACAATGAATTAAAAGAGCTAAATTTATTAAGTGCAAATAAGTAAAAACTCAATTTCTTGTGCAACTAGTCCTTAACAACACACTTATTACCAAAAGCTCATTAGAATCAAATTCATGGACACAAATGTCTTAGTATCATATTAATAAGGAGTAATAAGGAGTGTATTAATAGGAAAGTGTTTGTTAATGTCAAAATAATAAACTTGTCAGGAATTAGACATAAGGGCTGATTAAATACTAATTAATGATAAATTAACAGTCTACAACACAGGTGTCAAACATAAGGCCCGGGGACCAGATCCGGCCCTCTGAGAGTTTTATTCTGGCCCTCGGCTGATTTTCTACTAAAATATTTTAATTATATTTTCTATTAAAATCTTGGTAATTTTCTGCGGTGTTTATCATATCAGCGTCTCCAGCGTCTCTGTACGTGGCCCCTCCCACCAGAGCACCACAAATTAAGACTTGTCTCTTTCCAAACGCTCTTAAAGGACGATCGTTTTGACTGTTGACCATGACACCCTCATCAGAAAAATGTCCAACATGAGAAAAGTGGAGCCGCGTGCAGGATAAAAAATTGACTTATTCCTATTTGCAAACAAGTTCATGTTAAAACATTGTGTTGAAATTGTATTTTTCTTAAAGTTTTAGGTTGTTCATAATATTATAATATTTTGTAAAAGACAGAGTTCATCAATTAAAAAAGATTTCTGTAATAGATTTGTGTTTTTCTGCACAAATATTTAAACTTATTGTTATTTTTGGGGTTTATATGATATGAGTTTTGGAATCAAAGGAGGTTGGATACAGCCCCCGGACCAAAATGAGTTTGACACCACTGGTCTACAACTATGTTAATTAGCAGGTAGTTAGATGTAAGATGTTAATAAGTGTATTCTAAAATAAAGTGTCACTAAATCATCTGTCACATGACCCTAAATCATGTTAGAATGTTCTTACCTCCTGGAGCTGTGTTTTGTTTCATTTTAGTTTTAATCTTTCTGTTATTAGTTTACCTCTCCAAAGCTCAAAATGCTCCGTTCCACCTCGTTATGTCATGAGGTGGTAGTTATCAAGTTTGTTAAGTAACAGCGACCCTTAACCTTTTGTTCAGGACGGGCTGGAAATTAAAGGGTTGAGATCATCCAGATGATTCTAGTGAAGGTGTGCGGAGTATAAAAACACACTGGAGCACTTCCTGTATCACCACATGACATCACAAGGTGGAAAAGAGTGTTTTCTAGTTTGAAAGAAGCTCTCAGTGTAAATGGGCAGGTTTGTGTGTTAAACATGTGAATGAAACAAAACACAAGTCCAGGTGTGTTTGCGATGAGGAAACATTAGAACAGAGATCAGAATTTTGTGTCATGTGGGCTCTTTAAATCATCTTTAATGCTCAGGCAGGTGGAAAGGAACTCATTTTCACATTCCTGTACTAGAGTAGATTTGTGGGGTAGCCTCATTACTTTTTCTAGTAGATTTTTAAACCTATACTTGTATTAATAGAGTATAATTTTAGCCATGTCACTGTAATTAATTCATTTAAAATACTAAACATACTGCTGCCTTTGCTCCATTTTACACTTATGGCTCTGTTATAAAGAAGTTACAGCTCTGCATCGCCCGCTCTGATTGGCCAGAGCTCAGAGAATATGCAGATTGTGGTTTAAGTTTTATATTAAAGAGTGATCTAAAATGCTTTTTAAATTGCATTAAAAAGTAACTAGGACTCTGAGTAGTAGGCTATTTTATTTTTACTCAAGTACAATTTTGGCAGCAGAACTTGTACTTGTAACTGAGTATATTTTTAGCCATGTAACTGCACGTTTACTTGAGCAGAGAGGAGTCGAGTTGCTCACTTCAAAATAATATTCCAAAGTAAGTAATGTTATTTTGAAGTGGGCAACTCAATTCCCCGAAGTAAGTAATAAGTAGTACATAGTAGTGGTCCAAGGAATTACTCAAGTAAGAGTAAAAATATTTGGATCTGATTTGTAATTTGAAGTTAAAGGATTAAAACATAAAATAATGAACAAAATCTGGTATTTTCAAAGTATAGACATAAAAATGAATCTATCAAAACTAAATCATACCTGAAGGAGCTGCATGAAACACAAACATTCAAATCATTCCATTTCATATTTAATAAAAAATATTGCCCAAGTAGAAGTAAAAGTATGCTCCTGGAAAAGTACTCTGAAAAGTACAATTTCTTAAAAAAGTTACTCAAGTAAATGTAATTGAGTAAATGTAACTGAGTACTGTACCTCTGAGCTTGTCATTGTTCAAATGTCTCTTTCTCTTGTAGAAGACGCGGCGAGTCCAGACGAATCCTGCCGCTGTGAGTGACTTTATCTTGTGCACTGTTTGTATCACTCACTTTAGACAATAATCCTAATCAGAATCCTCTTTCCGAACATTCCCAGTGGCCAGGAGATTTAAGAACTTCCGGCGCTACGTGTACGACTACGAGGCTTCAGCGGTCAACCTGGTGAATGGAGTCAGCGAAGAGAAGAGCGGACCCAAAGTCACCTGCAAGGTACGTGCACGGAGGAGAGGAACTAATTACTCATACTCGTTACCGTGATAGATTTTGGGGGTAGTTGTACTTTCTTTTAGAACATGTTTAAACCTGTATTTGTACTTCACAAATACACTACTTCATTCTAACCATGTCATTGTTATTGTTTAAATGACAGAAGTTGCTGAGTAGTGTTCAAGTCCCATTCACAGACTCAGTGGGCATTGTGCACAGATTGAGCCCCTTCCACTTTATACTGAAAAAAACATTGCCACTTTTGTCTTAAAATATGCATATTAACCATTAACCGTGTTCCTGGTGTTTAGCCAAATAGGCAACAGTATGTTGTCCTTAAATCAACATGTGAAGAATAATAACAGACAAATCAGGCATCTTCTTTCCCCTTTACCTTTAACAGCCTGGCTCGGGTTTGGCTCTTGAGTTGCTCTGATGCTCGCTGTGGATGATGTCACACTCCCTCGGTTCTTTTCTTTATACAGTCTACAGTTCCAGTCCATGTCTCTGTTCCTCTCTAAACCCACACGCCTACAATCAAGCTCTGTATCTCCTGCTCTGATTAGACAGAGCTCAGAGAACATGCAGATTGCCATTTAAAACAACACAAGTTTTGTAAATAATACTGATCTTAAATGCTTCTAAAATTGCATTAAAAGGTATGCATGGAAAAACTATTACTACTATTAGTATTAGTTTTTCATGCATACTTTTTACTTTCACTTTAGTACAATTTTGAAGCAGTACAGTAATGGAGAACATAATTTATTACCTCGTAACTCAACTTTAAAACACAGAGTTTCAGTTTAATCACAGTCACGTCTCTGGTCAGAAAAATCTCAATTATATATTCAACCCAAATGTTCTGAATCTTTTGTTTACCCGTGCCAAACCCTGATCCTTATATCTGACATTTACATCTGACCTTTATATCTGATCTAATAATTTGTGTGGTGCAGGTGGAGGTGGACGTGCCCAGGACCTGTGCTTTCATCATGAGGACCACAGACTGTTCCATGATGGAGATTTCTGGTCTGGACTCAAGTGGAAACACGATCTATGTGCCTGCATCTGGAGCTGAGACCTTCAGCGAGGAGATGGCCAAGTAAGTGACTCATGTTTGGTTAGCATTTGATTTAGTTTGCAGAGCATCAAAAAACAAGAAGAGCTCAGTGGGGGAATCTCCAACACTGCAGCTGTGTAGACTGTGCAGATCTACAGTGCTCAGTATAATGATGGTCAATGGTGAATGCAAAGAGGAAACAAACAAACAAAATAACCAATGGTTTTGTATTCCTTTGACATTTAAAGAAGACCTATAGTACACAAAACGGACATTTGTGTGCCTTAACCGTGTTAGAATGTTGTTCCCTCCTCAAAAACACACCTGGAGTTGTGTTTTGTTTCATTCACACATGTTTGAGTAACAAAGCATTATTAGTCTGTCCACTTCTCTAAAGCTTAAAATGCTCTGTTCCAACTTGTGATGTTATGAAGCTGTAGTTTTCAAGTTAATAGCTACTTTTTTAGAACCTTTAATTCAGTAGAGATTGGAAATTACAGGGCTGTAGTGATTGTATGTGAAGGTGTAAGGAGTTTAAAAACACAGTGGAGCACTGCATTATCCCATGACATCACAGGGTGGAACAGAGTGTTTTCTCTTTGAGAGAAGAACTCAGTCTAAATGTGCAGGGGTTTTGTGTTAAACATGTGTGAATGAAACAAAACACAAGTCCAAATAGTGTAAAATGGACTCTTTAAAGGAGACCTGTTATATTAGAGGACTCTTGAATGTTCCACAAAGTGGCATTAAACTTAACTTTTTTAAATTCATGAAATGACTGGTGTTTTCAAAGAAAATAAAAATATACAACAACTTGGTCTGATGGCATCACCTGCTTTTCTCCACACATACATAACATACATTTAATGCCATACTGTGGAGCATTCCAATCAAATTTCCATGGAGACAAGCAGGCGCCAGTATCTCTGATTTTAGGCACTAGATAGAGATCAGAAAAAAATATTTATGGTGCCTGTGTCCTAATGTTATTCAGGTCACACAGTCATAAAACACAATTAAACCTTGTGTCATTCAGATCATAAAATAGTCCAATCTCCAAGTGTCCAGGTGTATATATGTTTATGTACTGTGTGTGTATATGTGTGTGTGTGTATATATATATATATATATATATATATACACACACACACACACACACACACACACACACCACATATATATATATATATATATATATATATATATATATATATATGTGTGTGTGTGTGTGTGTGTGTATTATGTGTGTATTATGTGTGTGTATATGTGTGTGTGTGTATATATATATATATATATATATATATGTGTGTGTGTGTGTGTATTATGTGTGTGTGTGTGTATATATATATATGTGTGAGTATGTATTATGTGTGTGTATCTGTGTGCGTTCCCAGGAATCCACTGATGTTCCAGGTGTCTGACGCGAGCGTGTCCCTGTACCCAGAGGACGACTCCACCCTCATCGTGAACATCAAGAGGGGCATCGTGTCTGCCCTGATGCTGCCCCCCAGAGAGGAGAGCGCCACCCTGGACATGGTGAGGGCACAACACAGAACAGCATTAAAGATTAAAGGCCTCAGGTCATAAAGCTGACCTGTAGTACTTGTGTCTGCTCTGTCATTATAATCTATGAACCCTGTGCATCTTTGGATATTTCAAATCACAGTATTGACCTAAAACCATTTAATAAAAGAAACACGTCTGCTAGCTTCTACTTTAAATCCTAATTATAAGTTTACACAACTTTCAGAGAGAGTGCAGTCTTGTCAGAATGGTGAAGCTAACAACAACTAGCATTCTAACTCACACATGCATTTCCTGATTATTGGACAATAAAATGCTTTATAATTAGATTAAATTAGATGTAGACAGTACACAGCAGACTTATGTTGACCTCAAAAGCTGCTTATACACTGTATCTGCGAGACACATTTCACCCCCCAAAAATGTGGGTACCGGCCCTTTAAGAGCAGGATTAGCCCACATTCAGGTTTGGGTCCAGTTACAGTCTAATGTAGAATTTAGCCCTGATTAAGACTACCTTTAGTCCCAGTTTAGACCAGGTTCAGTCCTGGTTTAGGCCTGAGCCAGCCTTGGCTTCTTTACACATGTACTTTTGTATGAGTCTAGACATATAAAAAACAAATTGCCTCTTGTGTGTTTTGTCCCAGAGTGACTGCCTTCCTTGTTGTTTATGGCCTTATTTTTCTTCTAACCTGCCAATCAATCCCATGAGGTCAGGACAGATTAGAGTGTTTGTGCAGAGCTCCAACATGGCAGAGCAAAGTCCCTATGATAACTTTATCTGAGTACTGCATCAGGACAAGTCATACAACAATAATACTGCTACTGCAACTACTTTATGGAGTAGTATGAAAGCAGCTGGGCCAAAGATGACAGTACGCAAATCAGCAGGGTACAGTTCAGGTGTGAAATAAAGGTTAAAGTGCTTATGTTACACAAAATGGACTCATATGAGTGTTAAGCAGTGTTACCATGTTGTTACCACCTCAAAACAACGTGCCCAGAGTCTGTTTGTTTCACTGACACATGTTTGAATAATCCTTTATTATTAGTTTATCTGCATCTGCAGAACTCCAAATGCTCTGCTCCACCTCATGAAGTTGTAGTTAGTAAACCAAAATGATAAAAACAGATAACGATTAGTTTTGTTTGTTTTGATTTGTGTTTAAATGAGTAATGGAAAAAACAGATAACGTTTCCCGTTTCATCCAATTTTGATCATGGATCTATAATAAAAACTGCAGATGCCAGACTTTTGCACCACATACAGACTGAACCAGGACTAAACCAGGACTAAACCATTACTAAACCAGGACTAAACCAGGTCTGATCTTGGAGAGGGAAAACGCCGAACCAGTGGAGCAGGGTGTTCACAAAGCACGATTGGGCGACGATTGTGCATGAGGAGCTCTGCTCCAGTGCTTTTGTCTGCTGTCACCCAACAGTCTACGAGGGCGCACCTTCGAGCCTGCCCCAACACTCAGTCCTGGTTTAGTTCTGGTTTAGTCCTGGTTCAGTCCTGTTTTAAGTCCTAGTTCAGTCCTGGTTTAGTCCTGGTTCAGTCTGTATGTGGTGCAAAAGTCTGGCATCTCCAGTTTTTATTACAGATTCATGGTCAAAACTGGATGAAACAGGAAACAGCTGTTATCCATTTTTTCCATTACTCATTTAAACACAAAATTGAAAATTGTGTCATTATGCTTTTTTCAATTTGGTTTCGGAGACAAATAATGAAGAAAATTGTTGTTTTTTTGTTTTCTTACTTTTGATTTTATTTTGAAAAATCAAATGAATGAAACGAATAATGCACGGATTGAGAGAAGAACTCAGCCTAAATACACATTATGTGTGTTAAACGTGTGAATGAAACAAAAAACAACTCCAGGCCTGTTTTTTGATGAGGAAACTACATTGTAGAACATACCGGTACATGTGAGTGAATCTAGGTGCTGGTTTTGTGTCGTAGCCCACAGTGCACGGACAGTGCTCCTCAGACGTGGTGGAGAAATCCAGAGACGAGAGCACATCTGAGGTGACCATGCGCAGAGACCTGAGCTCCTGTGAGGGGCTCATCCACAACCAGCACACCAGCCCCCTGGCCCTCATCTCCGGCATGGTAAGACTTGCACCAGGGCTGACACTGTGGAGGCCTGATTTTGACCTGATTTAGACCTGGTTTAGACTTGGATTAGACATGGTTTAGATGTGCTTTAGACCTGGTTTATGTCTTCATTAGTCTTGATGTAAACCTGATTTAGTTCTGCTTTAGACCTGCTTTAGACTTGGTTTAGACTTTGTTCAGATGTGGAATAGTTCTGGATTATGTCTAGTTTAGTCCTAGTTTAGATCTGGTTTAGTCTTGGTTTAGACCTGCTTCAGACTTAGTTCATACCTGGTTCAGTTCTGATTTAGACTTTTAGAGTTTAGTTGGATTTAGAATTGGTTTAAAAATAGTTTAGTCCTGGTTTACACTCATACAAGATGTGACTAGTATTAAATTGAGTGTTGTCTCCTCAGAACTTCCCTCTGTCCAAGCTGATCAGCGCTGAGCAGGTCTGTGACTACACGTTTGACACCCAGAAGAGACACATGAGCACGGCCTCCTGCACTGAGACACACCTCTTCCTCCCCCTCTCCCACGAGTAAGACTCCGCTCGCCTCGGGTTTTTTAAGCTTATCATTTTACTTCCTGGTTGGACATGAGCAGCAGATCTGACATACTGGGGTAATTCCTTAACTGTTACCTAGCAACATCATGTAAACAAAAAAACAAAATGAAATTGCACAATATTTATGATTAAACTGACAGGGACGGGCCTGGGCAGTACTTGGGCAGGACACAGGGGGGCGCCAGAGCAAAACCTTTTGTGATCGTACGCAAGACACTTCACCCACATTAGTATGAAAGTGGTGTGTGTGTGTGTGTGTGTGTGTGTGTGTGTGTGTGCACGTGTGTGTGTGTGCGAGTAGAGCTGCTCGATGATGGAAAAAATCATTATGACGATTATTTTGGTCAATACTGAAATCACGATTACTCAAACGATTTTTTTTTTGTCACATGATGCATTTATTCAGCATTTCTCTCTCTCAAAAACACTTTGTTAATGGTAAATTAAGCAAAACTTTCAAATGGAAAATAAATATAGGCTACAAATATGAATCTTAGAGCAGTTTTGCAATGTATAAAAAAATAAAAGAAATAAAATATATTTTGAACATGAAATAAGGCAAAACATAAATGTATCCAAAATAAAGTATATATCCAGCTGTTGTACAATCTATATATATATATATATTTTTTTAAATTATAAATATACTTATTTGTATAAAACATATCCCAAAATAAACTATGTTAAGTTTTACTGTTTGTACTAGATTGATCAACTTGAATTTGGAGATTGTTTGACAAACAAATCAAAATCACAATAAAATTTCAGTTAATTGCACAGACTTATGTGAGTGATGGTGGTGGTCAGAGGGGCTGATGGTGCAGACCGGCAGCCTCGCTTCTGTCAGTCTGCCCCAGGGCAGCTGTGGCTACAACAGTAGTTTACCACCACAGAGTGTGGAGTGAGTGAATAATGAACTGTAAAGCATCCTTGACTGTCCAGAACAGCGCTGTTTAAAAATGGATGCTGTATTATTATTATTATTATTATTATTATTATTATTATTATTATTATTATTAGACCAGTATGTCACAATACTAAAATTTTTAACTTGATTTTGATGCTAAGGAATTAGACACGATATTCAATACTGATTCTGATACCACAATAAAAAATAAAAATAAAATTTAAAAAACACTTTATTTAGACAACATCATATGTGTGTAATCCCAGGTACGTTCCATAGTGATCCATGAGCTTTTACAATGTGCATTTATGAATTTCCTTCGGGATAATAAAGTATCTCTCTCTCCTTCTGTCTGTCTATGTGCTCTTCTACTTGTTCTAAAGGTTCATTTGTGTCCTGTGACTGGGACTTTAGTATCAAAACCTGCTCAAATGTGAATCTAGTTTCCATACTAGTTTTAGTATCGATTAGTATCTGATTTTAGATACTACTGACAGCTCAAACCTAAAACAGCCTTAGCACTAGAATTGAATTTTAATTATTGAATTTTAATGAATGTTTTTTTTGTTTTGTTTTGTTTGTTTTTTGACAGAAACAAATATGGCATCTCAACTCAGGTGCACACCTCCATGAGCCTGAGGGACGTGTCCAAGATCAATGACAGAGTCTTTTCTTATGGTGTGTATTTTATCATGACATACAAAACATAAGACTAGTGTTATTGTAGTTTGAAGAACATTTGTATCATCATTGTTGACATGCAAATATATTTATTTTTTATAGCTTTCTATCATCTTATAATGTTTCTTGATCAAAAACATACCTGAAGAGGTTTTAGATGTCATCCATTAATGTTTGAGTAATGTAGTTCTCTCCTGTAATTCTCTCCCGTGTTCTATTCAAACCTTTCTTAGCTGTAAGATTCTGTACGATGCTCCACCCACAAGCATTCTTCATCCATGCTCCCACATGACAATTCTCCGTAAATATACAAGAGCAAAATACAAAGCAATATACTACAACCAAAAATAGCTCTGAAGGCTACACAAGTGTTTTTATTGCTCATAAATCCTTGAAAATCATTCATTCTGCTGTGAGGTCTCTCCACAGATCTGACTTATAACTTGGCTGGAATAAGTTTAATGCCACCGCAGTGCACCTTTGAAACATATATGCATTCTCTGTCCCTCCTTGTATTTTCAGTAACAAGTGAAAGTGCAGTTAACCTTAACACCATTAGGTGGCACTAAAACACAAGGACAGTTCAATCAGAGGTTTTACCCCCTGAGATTTAGCTCACTCTCAAAGTACCTGCAAACAGGTACATGAAAAATACATGTCCCTTTACTACCACGTATTACCCATGTCACAAAGTTTTCTGTTTGAGAGAAGAACTCAGCCTAAATCTGCAGGGTTTGTGTGAATGAAACAAAGGAAACAATATTTGAACATAGATCAGAAAATAGAGTACAGTATTTTCCAGACTATAAGTGGCTCCGGAGTATAAGTCACACCAGCCAAAAATGCTTAATGAATAAGAAAAAAACATATATAAGTCACACTTTTGGGGGGAAATTTATTTTATGAAATCAGAGACCAGGAACCAACATTTCCAGTGTAAAGTCAAGTTGAAGTAAAAACAATAGAAGAGAGAACAACAGACTGTTAATGTCACATATGAAAAGTTCTTCAGATAAACTATAACATAAACAACAGAAAAAGTTTACCAAACTCTCCATCTCACTCCAAATCACTAAATCCATTCAATTCTTCATCCTCGGTGTCACTTCTGAGCAACTCAGCCTCGACCTCCGGAGGTAAACAGAGCGCCGCTTCCTCTTCTGTGTCGCTGTCATCAGACATCAGTTCCAGTTAGAATTATTCCGACCTTTCTGAATCCCGACAGGATGGTTTCCGGTGTCTTTATAAGTTTATTTGAATTTTCAGTGGTACAGAAGTAATGGTGTGACTGACAGGACAGAGGCTCTTTCTGCAGGAGACATGTGCAGTAGAGTGAAGTGACAGTGGTACAGGAGGAACAGGAGCAGCAGATACTGACACACAAGACTAGAGCCTCTCACCGCTTCAGTGTGAACATTTTATATATAAGTTGTACCAGTGTATAAGTCGCAGGAAACACCCAAAAAACGTATACGACTTATAGTCCAATACGGTAATATGGGCACCTTTAAGGATTTTCTATAAAGATTTTTTCACATTCTTTTTTAGCCTGAAACCATTTCAAGTGAAATCTTACCATTCTGAATTGACTCAGTGACTCAAATCTGACTTAATTCTCTCCACAGATGAGTCGAAGCTGCGCAGCTTGCAGATGGAGCCAGTGGAAGACAAGTCCCCAGTGCAAACCACAGACACTTCCCTGGACCTCTTCAGAGTGCTGGTGGCCCTCAAAGACCTGAACAGAGACGAAACACGTGCCCCCCTCTTCCGCCGCCTGGTGCTGGAGCTCCGTGGTCTGAAGGCTGAGAGTGCCAGGGCTGCTGCCCTCGAGATGTTTGACTTGTCCAAAAGAATGACCTTCCAGGCTCTGGTTCAGTGTGGAACCCCCGACTGCCTGAGCGCAGTGCTGAAGGTGCTGAGGACCTACCCCCACGAGGCCTACGAGGTGGACGCCGTGGTCATGGGCCTGGGGATGCTGCCCCGCCCCTCACGCCAACTACTCGCCGACCTGCTGGAGATGGCCAAGTACAAACAGAGCAAAGCGATCATGTACACCCTGGGGAACGCAGCGATGAAGTGAGTACCAGCCAGCACAACGTTCTATAAGCCAATTATATTTAATACAGATAGAGGACTGTAAACAGAAGTGGACTAAGGAAGTGTCCTTCACACTGTTTGGCTCCATCAAATAAAGCTCATCGAGGCTAGCAGAGTTCCATATTTGGAATAAAACAGAGTATGATAGCAGAAGGAACTTACCCAGCTGCAGATGGTCCAAAACTCTGCCCCAACACTCCTGACCTGCACCAATAGGAGAGCACACATGACTCCCATCTTAAAATCCTTACATTGGCTCCCTGTTCTTTTTCATGTCCACTTTAAGATCCTGGTGCTGACCTTTAGGGCCCTACATGGCTGGACTCCTGCTTAAATCACAGATCTGATAAAGTCGTGCACCTCTGCTCAGAGCCTGAGGTCCACCAGCCAAAACCTGCTAATGGTTCCTCAGGCATGTTTTAAAACGCAGGACAACAGATCCTTTCAACCCGTCTCTCCTAAACTCTGGAATGAACTGTCTCCTCATCTGGTCTCTCTAGACAGTGTAGATGCTTTTATAAAGTGACTAAAAACATTTCTCTTTGAACAAGCGTTCCCGCCCCTCAGGTTTAGAGCTGCTATGACTGATTTTATTTTATTATGAATGTATCTTCTTACTTACAACCAAAGAGCAAATCAGGAGTGACGCTGATGAAGGTAAAGCCCCCTCCCTGTTGATAACACCAGCAGGATTGACCTTGGGGAGAGAAGGCACTACCAAAATAAAAGCCTCAAAAGTCCGACAGCAGCACTTTGTTTTCAGAACACGGCGGCTGGTTGGTTAGCTATGTTCATTTATATAATATATACCGTGAATGAGGAAAACTAAAATTAATATTGTTAAAATTCAGATTTTTGTTGTAAAACAGCAAGGTCTTGGGTCTAGTCACTAACAGAAATGATAAGGTCCAGTATTTGTTGATTTAGCTTTAAAGAAAAATGTAACCTAAGTCCAGGCTCAGACATTGTTATTTTGATATTTTGTCACAGTTGTTTGAAAAGAAACTGACTTTATATTTTCTTTTTCTTTTTGCAGACTGGCCCGTGCTGAAGGGTCCAGCGTGCCTGAGGTCACTGCAGTCAGTGAGTTTTTCATGTCCATCCTGGGAGCAGACTGTTCTGGAGACAAGGAGCTCACCTTCCTCACACTCAGGGTAACACCACAACACTGTACCATCTCTAGAGTTTAAACTGAGCACAGGTCAGAATTCTCAGGTGGAATTTGCTGATTAAAGTGCCAATCACAGGCTGGACTATGATTTTCATCAAAACCTGTTAAATGCACTTAATAACTGTCAGATTGAAGAGTTTATGGTTCTGGGTCATATCATATATATCATTCATATATATTACTGGGCCTATCCACATGAAACAAAAACTGGCACAAATGACAATTATTTGATTTGAAATTATTTTTTCACAATAGCTAATAATCCCAGATAACTCCAAAGACATGATTGTTGTTGTGAGTTGAAGGGACTTTAAACCATGAAATTATTGTGGCAACTTTGTGGAGCCAATCCCAAACAAATAATGACATCCTGAGAATGGGACTTGTTATTGTTTTAGTACTGATACCTGCTCAAATGACTATCTAGTTTTGTGGTCATACCAACTTGTCAAAGTCTGATCCATCTGATCTCAGAAGCTCAGCAGGGCCTGGTTAGTACTTGGATAGGAGACCACAGGGAATTCCAGGAGCCACAGGGGGCCACCAGGGGCAAAAACTGTAATTTTGTCCTTATTCAATACATTTCACCAACATTGCCTCGTGGTGTGTTTGTGAGTGATGGTGGTGGTCGAAGGGGCCGATGGTGCAGATTGGCAGCCTCGCTTCCGTCAGTCTGCCCCAGGGCAGCTGTGGCTATAATGGTAGTTTACACCACAGAGTGTGGAGAGAATGAACAATGAACTGTAAAGCACTTTAGGCGTTATATAAATGCAAAGATTATAATTATTATATTATTATTATTAGATTTTAGTATTTTTAGTATGAATTCTTAGTAAATTATTTTCGATACTTTTGACCAATCTAATCGATTATTGACAGTCCTAACAGTAACTTCTATTATACTTTCTATTCAACTGTAATACTTGTCTTGCACTTTGTAAAGTGTCTTTGCTCATGTGTTTTTCAGGTTGTTGGAAACATGGGAGCTGTTCTGGAGGAAGTTGACTCGTCCATTAAAGGGACTCTGCTCAAGTGCATGAGACAGCCAGCCACCACTCTGTCTGTGCAGCTGGCCGCCATCCAGGCCTTCAGACGCATGACCATCACAGACGAGGTACAGTCAGGGAACTATTTAAAGGGCCTATATATTAGGCAAGGCAAGGCAAGTTTATTTGTATAGCACAATTCGTACACAAAGTAATTCAAAGTGCTTTACAGAATAAGAAATACATTAAAATCATAATAAAAACAAATCAAAACATAAATAATCATGAAGATTAAAATTTTAAAAAAGAGAGACATAAATTGGAGAGAAGAGTGCGGAATGAAAACCTTTCAGTTATATGCACAGTTAAACAGAAATGTTTTGAGTCTGGATTTAAACAGCGTCACAGAAGAGTCTGTCTCACATGTTCAGGAAGACTGTTCCAGGTTTTAGCTGCATGAACCTGAAACGCTGACTCCCCTTGTTTAGTCCTGACTCTGGGCACCAGCAGGAGGCCGGTCCCTGAGCTCCTCAGAGTGCGAGATGGTTCATATGACACTAACATGTCACAGATGTACTTTGGTGCTCGGCCATGGAGAGACTTGTACACAAGCAGAGCTGCTTTAAAGTCTATTCTCTGAGGCACAGGAAGCCAGTGCAGAGACCTGAGCACAGGACTTATGTGCTCGTACTTCCTAGTTCGAGTAAGGACCCGAGCTGCAGCGTTCTGGATGTTCTGCAGCTGTCTCACAGCTCGTTTGGAGAGACCAGTGAGCAGACCATTACAGTAGTCTAACCTACTGGAGACAAACGCATGGATAAGTTTCTCCAAGTCTGCTTTAGACAGTAAACCTTTGATTTTTGCTATGTTTTTTTAGATGGTAAAAGGCTGCAGATGTTATTGATTTGATGTGGCTGTTAAAGTTCAAGTCTGAGTCCATTATTACCCCTAGATTTCTTGCCTGATTTGAAGGTTTTAGAGAGAGAGACTGGAGGTGACTGCTGACACTGTCCCTTTGTTTCTGTGGACCAAACACTATGACTTCAGTCTTGTCAGAGTTTAGCTGGAGAAAGTTGTTTTGCATCCACACACTGATCTGTTGGATGCAATGACCAAGTGACTCCACTGGTCCATAGTCTCCTGCTGCCAGAGAGACGTAGATCTGAGTGTCATCTGCATAATTGTGGTAGAACACGTTATTGCTGCTTATTAACTGGCCTAATGGCAGCATGTAGAGATTGAACAACAGGGGGCCCAGGATTGACCCCTGAGGCACCCCACAGGTCAGGGCCATGTGATCTGAGACACAGTTTCCAATTTCAACAAAATACTTCCTGTCTTCTAGATAGGACTTGAACCAGTTTAGTACAGTACCAGAGATGCCCACCCAGTCCTCTAGTCTCTGTAAGAGGATCCCATGATCGACAGTGTCAAAAGCAGCACTCAGATCTAACAGGATCAAGACTGAGACTTTGCCTGCATCAGTGTTCAGGCGGATGTCATTTGTCACCTTGATAAGAGCAGTCTCAGTGCTGTGGTGGGCTCTAAAACCTGACTGGAAAACATCAAAGGAGTTGTTCATTTGGAGAAAGTTCGTAAGCTGTTGGTAAACAGCTTTTTCAAGGACTTTGCCAAAAAAACGGCAGATTTGAGATGGGTCGGAAATTGTTCAGTACTGTGGCATCAAGACTGATCTTCTTTAGGAGAGGCTTAATGACCGCAGTTTTCAACGCGTTTAGGAATGTTCCAGATTGAAGTGACATGTTAACTATGTGAGTGAGTGGTGAAAGTAAACTGTTGAGGACGGACTTTAGAAATCTAGTGGGTAACATGTCCAGGCAGCAAGTAGATGAACTCAGACTGGTAACGATCTCTAAAACAGTTTTGTCAGTTACAGGTGCAAAGTGATTCAGCTCTAAGTGTCTCTGTGGCTGCATGCTTGTTATTTGTGTTGTGAAATAGATGGCATTTTTGATGCCCTGAACTTTGTCATTAAAGAAAACTGCAAACTCATTACATTTAGATGTGGAAATCAGTTCTAGTGGCAGTGGAGCTGGAGGGTTTGTTAATCTGTTCACTGTTGCAAACAGGACACGAGAGTTGTTACTGCAATTACCAATAATGTCCGAAAAATACTTCTCTCTTGTTTTACTCAAAGTGTACTTGTACATATGCATATGCAATATATACATATTACACAAAATGGACTCTTGTGAGCTTTAAGCTATGTTTTTACTGCCTCAAAAACATGCCTGGAATCATGTTTTGCTTCATTCACACACACATGTTTTTGTAATCCTTTATTATTCAGATCTCTAAAGCGCAAAATGCTCTGTTCCACCTCGTATGGAAGTGGTATGAAGCAGCACTCTCCATATTATCACATGACACAAGGTGGAGTTCTGTTTTTGTTTAGTTTTTGTTTAAGAGAAGGACTCATCCTCAATATGCAGAGTTTTTGTGTTAAACATGTGTGAATGAAACAAAACACAACCTCAGATATGTTTCTGATGAGGAAATGTTATGACATAAATCTCACAGGAGTCAGTTTTGCATAATATAGGACCTGTTTAAAAGTAAAGGGAATTTATGAATTTTCCATAATTTATGCAGCAAATGTCATCTATACTGAACCTATGGAAAAACAGAAGACCCAGACCATGCCTTGTTGTCCCCAGGTGCGCTCTAACCTGCAGCGGGTGAGCCAGTATCCCAAGGGTGCTGTGCAGAAGCGTCTGGCTGCCTACCTGATGCTGATGAGGAGCTACGAGGACAGTGATGTGGAGATGGTGAAGAGGCTGCTAGAGAAAGAACAGAACCCCCAGGTCAAGGCCTTCATCGTCTCTCACCTGTACAACATCCTGACGTCAGAAGAGCAGAGTCTGCAGGAGTAAGCACTATAGTGTTGGAAACATACTAACACTTCCAAATCCATTTTTATACTAAGCAATAGAGTTGTCAAAACTTAGTATTGAAAATCTATTATTATTTGCTAAAAATGTGTCTATTTAGTCTGTTATTATTGTGCTATCTAAATTGGTATTGAGTAGTCAGTTCCTTAGTATCGAAATTGAGTGTGAAATTTAGTATCTTCTAAGGAATAGACTCTACTCAATACCAATTCCAATACCACCATGATATAAAAAAAAAAACACTAAATAAACAGTGAAATTAGATTTTTAACTACCATTTAGGTAGTACTTTCTGTTCCATTCCCATGTGGTTCCTCAGTGGTCCATGTGTGTTTACTAGTCTATGTGCTCTTCTACTTGTTCTGATACAGAGAAACATCATTCTAAAGACATTCAGGTTCAGTTCTGTCCTGTGACTTTTTTAGTAAGTTTGTATGTATGTAGGTATTTAGTATACTAGTTTTAGTATCTGATTTTCAATACTTTTGACAATTCTTTTCAAACATAAATTGCGAATCTACCGTTTTTTTCAGACTATAAGCCTCTCCTGAGTATAAGTCACTCCAGCTAAAAATGTGTAATGAAGAAGAAAAAAACATGTATAAGTCACACTGTACTGGACTATAAGTCTCACTTTCTGGGGGAAATTTATTTGATCAAATCAGAGACCAGGAACCAACATTTCATCATAAAATTCAAGTTCTAGTAAAAACATAGAAGAGAGAACAACAGTCTGTTAACGTCACATATGAACAGTTCTTCAGATAAACTCTAACATAAACAACAGAAGTTTTACCAAACTCTCCATCTCACTCCAAATCACTAAATCCATTCAATTCTTCATCCTCGGTGTCACTTCTGAACAACTCTCCCTCGACCTCCGGAGGTAAACGGAGCGCCGCTTCCTCTTCTGTGTCGCTGTCGTCAGACTCAGCATCAGTTCCAGTTAGAATTATTGGGGCCTTTCTGAATCCTGACAGGATGGTTTCAGTGTCACTGAAGTTCAGGCTTTGTTCATCCATCCAGTGAAGTGACAGTGGTACAGGAGGAACAGGAGCAGCACATATTGACACACAAGACTAGAGCCTCTCGTCGCTTCAGTGTGAACATTTTAATATATAAGTTGCGCCTGAGTACAAATCACAGGAAACACCCAAACCATGACAAAAGTGCGACTTATAGCCTGAAAAATATGGTAATCACAATTGAAATGCTTTCTGGAAAAATCGCAATTCACTTTTTTCAGCTTCATCTGTGCTTGCATTGTCATGCGCTGCTCTTGCCCAGTTGAATCCCTGGTTTTCAGTGAGGTGTTTGTGCTCCCAGGTTGCGTTCCAAGCTGGAGGAGGCACTGACGGACATTGTGGTCGCCCCTCCTGGTCTACAGATGTCCAATTCTCAGAACTTCAGATTGCCCGGTGTCCAGGGAAACCTCATCTTTGACGTCAACAGCCAGCTGCCCCGTGAGGTCCTCCTGGAGACCACACTGGATGCCTTTGGATACAAGATGGACGTTTTTGAGGTACATGCACATGAGTTTAATTCAGTGGTTTGAGAATAAATGTTACTGCTATCAAAATCACTCCATCTTTGAACAAAAAAGGGCGTCTAAGCCTGAACCCGTCATTTACAGCTCCATCCTCATACCAAAACCAAGAAATCAATTGTTTCCTCATCACAAACAGAACTGGAGTTGTGTTTTGTTTCATTCACATGTTTAACACACAAACCTGCACATTTAGGCTGAGTTTGTTATGTCATGTGGTAAAACAGGGTGGAACAGAGCAGTTTGAGCTTTGAAGATGTAGACAGACTAATAATAAAGAGTTACTCAAACATGTGTGAATGAAACAAAACACTACTCTGGGTGTGTTTAGGATGAGGTAACAACATTATAACATGGCTTAAAGTTCACAAGAATCAATTTTGCCTCCAAACAGAGCTATAAGTGACTCACAAGAACTGATTCTCTCCAAAAAACATTTATCCAGTTGAAAAATCTCTACTTTCTTTTACAATGAAACCGACCTGGACTATTGAGGGATTACACAGACAAAGCCTGGACAGTCTTTGACGTTACCTCTCCTCATATCCTGTGTGCAGCTGGGTATGGAAGGCAAAGGTTTCGAGCCCACAGTGGAGGCTCTGTTCGGGAAGAATGGCTTTTTCCCCGATACCATCTCCAAAGCTCTGTACTGGAGCGAGGACAAGATGCCCCCTAAAGTGCAGGAGATGTTCAGCAAGTGGACAGCGCCGTTCAAAGTGGAGGGACAACAGGTATGTGTAGAAGGTCCCATCTGTGGTTTGTACATGCTGTCTGACAAACATAGATTTAAAGGTACAGGTTCTGGCCTTGACCAGAGAACAGACCAGGTACACAGAAAAAGGGGAGGCTTCCCACCAGCAGGAGCCTAAATACAGCAGGTTACATTTAACATACCATGTAAAATACATTAGATGCAAAATACATTAGAGAAAGGGACACAAATACACAGTGACATACCGAGCTAACTTCATCACGGCACACCACCTAAACACGCCAAGCACTGCCCAGTGCCGAGTCACGGATGTTAAAAACACAATCCCCGTTAGTTTCACGCTGGAGCCAAAAAGACAATTTCCCTCCATTTTCAATTTTCCCAATTTACCCCCACGATGCTCGTACACCCTCTGCACTCACTGGGCTTGACACCTTACAGCAGCAATCTTAGTGCTCCACCAGCATTTGATGGAGAAAAGAGTTCAGGAGGGAGGGATAGAGCATTGGCACCTTTTTTATTGGCGGGTTTATGGTCAATAAACCCAATACTGTTACTTTAGGACAAGATTGTCATTGTTCATGTAGTGATTCTTTTTGCTTATTTTGGTGTATCTTTTTCCTTTAGTGTTGTGTGCCCGTTTATTTAGAAATGTTCCTGTCTGCTTGTAGTTTTGAGTCTTGATCGTTTGCCTTTTGCCTGTTGCTTACAGGTGTCAGAGGATCTGATCAGAGAAATTGTGCGTAACTTTAACAAGCTGCTGAAGGACCTCCAGAGCGCTGAGGCCCCAGACGCCATGGCCTACCTCCGCCTCTTGGGCACCGAGCTGGGCTACATCAAGACCAACGAGCTGGAGTCTATGGCCCAGAACATCCGCATGTACGCTGAGATCTTCTCCTACCTGTTACCACGAGAAGAGGTGAGTGAACACATCAGGACATAGTAGGCTGGTCATGATAATGATTATATTCACTTATTACATATTACCTGTTAACACATAACCTTTTAGAGTTTTCAAAATGCTATATTCACCGAAAAATACAGATGAACATTTTAAAGTTTCGCTTATGTTTTTGGGTCTCCCTCCCACTAACACAGTTAGTGTGCTAATGAAACTACTGCACACTGCATCAGGTTGGTTCAGCTCTGTATCATGTTTTTGTATATTTATGGAGAATTGTCGAGAGCATGTGGGAGCATGGGGGATGTAGGACTGTAGGTGGAGCCTTGTACAGAATCTTACAGCTAACCTGAAGAGGCCTGAGGAGGTTTTAGATGTTTGAATAATCTAGCATTCTCTCCCTGGCCTTATCGGAGCCCTCCTTATGGATAGCTGTATAATCCTGTACAAGCCTGCATCACCCATGCTCCCACACGACCATTTTTCATAAGTATCAAAAAGAAATTTACAAAACAATACACTACAACTTCACAAACCTGATGCAATGTGCAGTAGTTTCATTAGCGGGATGCAGGGGACTGAGGATGTTGAAAACAAAACAGAAACTGATAAAACATGTTAATATGTTGTTTTATAAGTTTCAATAAAATGTAACATGGTGATCTAAATCTGTTAATTAAATGGTTTAACCTTTGCTTTAGTAATACTGAAGTTGACGTAGCGCTAATTGAAAGGTTTATTAACACTCTGTAATGCCACAGAGAAAAGGGTTGTTGGTTTTACTCCGCACACTGAACACATTGTGAGGATGCTGTGATTTTCCCACAGATTTTGTCCTTCCTGAACGGAAACAATGAACTGTTTGCCCACTACATGTTCATGGACAACAAGTTCACTGTTCCCACTGCCTCTGGTCTGCCCCTGAGCTTTCACCTGACGGGCACCTTCACCCCCGGCATCAAGGGAAGAGTCACCTTTGACCCTGCAACGGTATGGATGGAAACATATATTACTACTAGAACTTTTATAGACTTTAGGGACTCCTGTTTCTTATGGGCCATTTATCAGCCTTTTTACCTTTACCGAACTTAATTATATCAGTACTTGTAATTCTAGTTGAGTAATATAATTTTGCAATAATTGTACTAATAAACCGAGGTAGTTAGAGGAGCCAAAAGTTGTACTGAAGTAAGAGTAATGTAGCTTTCAAGTGAACAGCTCCTTTTCCCTTTAGTTCATTAGAGATCGGCAATTCCAGGTCTGAAATCATCCAAATGATTCTAGTGAAGGTGTGTGGAGTTTATTTGTTGTTTTTGTTTATTTATATAGATCCCACTGGCTGCAGGCCATGATATCAGATAGTCTTCCTGGGTCCACTCAAATTTAAAGCTTCCATTTAATCAGTACAAATATATATATTCATTAAATTGGTATTTCATTGCAAAAAAAATCGCGTTACCTTAAAAATAATCACATTTGAGTTCAGCTGCACAGTTACAGTTCAATAACAGTCCATTTCAACTTCACTGAACACGTGACACATGCGTTTTAAATAGTTGTTTGGTTTTAAGATGCCGTATTATTTCAATAAAAACACTTTCTTCATAAAGTTTGTCCTGGGATAAGGTGCAGTTAAGTTCTCAGTAGTAACAGTTCTAGTGCCACAGAATTACAGTACACTATTTAACAGGGATGTAACAATATCTAAATCTCTCGGGACGATATTTTCACGATATTCATCTCACAGTACGATATTTATTGCGATATTTTGGAGAGGCAAATATAATTGTAGTTAGGACACTTTTTTGCTTTTAAAATACATACAAGATTTAGTGCAAATTATTACTGACATAATCCCAAGAATTCAAGTAAAAAACATATTTCTTCATGTTGTCTGCACTGAAATACATCATGGGATATGTTTTTGGCTCCTATAAAAAATACATTTAAGCAAAGAAACTTGTAATCCAATATATTGTGACAGCCCACAATATTATTATGAGACTTTTAACAATACAATCACGATATTTTGGTTATTGTTACATCCCTACTATTTAATGAAATATAAAAGCAGGTGTTTTTAAGGTCAGAGTGTTGTACAACAAGGTGTCCAGTGTAACTTGTACTCTTTGATTTAAACTGAGCCATAACATAGTGGAGTGTCACGTTTGACATAATGACAACACTGTTTTAGTTTAAAAACATAGTAGAGCACTTCCTGTATTACCACATGACATCATAAGGTGGTGTTTCCTGAGAGAAGAACACAGCCTAAATATGCATATCAAGGGATGTTTTTGAGGCGTACCCTTTAACGTGATTTTATTTTTACAAACAGTTAGTATGTTACATCAGTTATTATGTGGGATTTCTGTTAACAATCCTACTTTCAAGCTACAGTAGTTACGAGGATCTGCTCCTTCTCTCTCCTCCAAACTGATTTCCTGTGGTGTTGCTGTAACAGAAGGGGCTGTGGTTCAGGCCCTCTGCTGGACTGGAGGTCATGACGCAGATGGGCGTGTGCACGTGCCTGAGATGGTGAGATCTTCTGTGGAGATGACCACCGAGCTTTTCCACGAAAGCTCCTTCAATGCCAGGATCACCATGCAGCCAGGCCAGCTCAACCTGCACATGTCTGCGCCCAGAGACAAGATCAAGCTCCTGCACGTCAAGTATGTGGGTTTTTGTGTTTGTTTGTTTTCAGAAAGTAGATGTGTGTTTGGTTTTCATTTGGTGTTATCAGAGGAGGACAGTACTCAATTACATTTACATTTACATAAATATTATTTAAATAACTCTTCAACTCTGGAGTAAAAGTTGTGCTTCCTCTTCTCACTGTGAGGAAGTGACAAAAATGTTATGTTGACAATATGAAATTATTTGAACATTGTCCTGTAATGTATTTTTTTATTTTCTTGTAATGTTTTTTCTTCAAATTGCTATGGCTCGTACCTGGACAACAGAGAGCTTACACAACCTTCAAATGACACTAATCTGAAATTAGAAATTAGATGTTACATCCTGACAGTTACTTTTTAAGTTACTTGAGTAATAATTTTCCTAAATAATTTCTTACTCTTACTTGAACATATTCTTGGACCACTACTTTGTACTTTTGTTTGAGTAATATCATTGTGAAGTAATGTTACTCATACTTGAGTACAATGTTTGGCTACTCTGCGCACCTCTTGAAATTGCTCAAACAGTTGTCTCTTTCTCTGATACAAAATATGTGTTCGGGTTCAGGAATGATGTGAAGATCCTTGGTCTGAACAAAATCTCTGTGATCAAGCCGACGTACTCGGCGCTGAACTGCCAGACCCAGATGCCTGGGATGAAGCTGTGCTACACTGAGTATGGAGCCGACTTTTTCCTGAACGAAGCCGCAAGGTAAGGACACAGATACATCATTTTAGTACATTAAAGGGTCCATATTACACTATCGTCTGATCTACAGTATGTTACATAATGTTAACAACATACAGAAGTGTGTTTTGTTACATTCACATATGTTTGAGTAACCCTTTATTATTAGTCCGTCAACATCTCCAAATCAAACCAGCTCCACCTTAATATGTCATGAGCTGTCAAGATAACAGCTGCCTTGTACCTTTAGTTCAGTAGAGATCGGCAATTCTAGGGCAATTGTCCAAATGATTCTAATGAAGCTGTAAGGACGTTAATGACATCACAAGGTGGACCAGAGTGTTTTCTGATTGAGAGCAGAACTGGATCTAAACTAAACTAAATGTGCAGGGTTTGTGTGTTAAACATGTGAATGAAAGAAAACACAACTCCAACCCCAGCTCCAGGTCTGTTTGTGATGAGGAAACAACATTAGAACACAGATCAGAAAACATTATTGTTATTCAGTGTAAATATATGCATTTGATTTGGATGTGTTATTCTTTCTCATTAGTTATACGTTGGACATCGTACCATTGGGTGAAGATGCTGAATACACCGCCAGCATCAGCTACAACCTCGTGAATGAAGGAAAAGAAGGCCGCCACAAAGTGGACACAGTCAGCGTAGCCCTGAGAGTTACGGGCGGTAAGGACACGCTTGTCTATTGTGCTATAAAGTTTGAAATCATCTTGTGAAATGGGCTTTCACTAGTTTCTATCTGGTAGAACTTTATAAAGGTACTGTACCTGTTTACTTGTCTTAAACCGTGAAAAATAGTGACCCAAAGTTATTCCTGACTTACCTTTTGCATTCAATTATTCACTTATTCAATTCAGTCTAGCAACAAAAGTGTGCTTCCTGATTAACAAACAATAAAATGCTTTACAATTAGATGCAGACAGTACACAGCAGACATATTTTGACCTCTTAGACCTGATTATAAATAAAATACATCTGTATTGTGACAAATCATAGTTTGCTCAAACCATTGGGAAAGTCAAGTACAGAGCCTTTAAGATTTATAAAATGTATAGACCTACTACTATTTTTGTATTTGCTTTAAGGTATTTATTTTCAAAAATGTCAATATTTTTGTCAGTGAGTTGAGCAAGATGGTTAAGAAAAAAATATGATTAGATTGTGATTTAAAATGTCCAAATGATAACATGATGATCCATGGGTGTCATAAATAATAACTATAGAACAGCTTTAATATTCTGATGTTTATCATTGTTTGCAGAGAATAGTTTGTAAAAAAGACCATTTTATTTTAGATTTTACACAAGAAGTCAAACAGGTGCATGTTGTTTTTAGAAGCTGAGCCCATGGAGGCCCTTCTCCTACTCAAGTACAACAGGAACAAGAACGTGCTGAGCTCCCAGCTGCAGATCCCAGACCTGGATGTGGAAACCGGAGTGAGGCTGGGCATGAGCGACAGCAGCTCCAGAGGAAAAACCCTGACGCTGGAAGTGTCCAACCACAATGTGCCCCAGCTGTCCCTGATCGCACGCGCCAAGTCAGTCTGCACACTCACACTCCTGCTGCACTACATTATATAACCATGCATTTTATACGGTTGCAATAATTAAGAATAATCATAACCAGTGGACTTGAAGGGCCCATATTATACTATCTTCTGATCTATGTTATGATATCTGGAGTAGTGTTTAGTTTCATTCACACAATTTTAACACTCAAACCCTGCGTATCTACTTACTTTTTACCTTCAGTTCAGTAGAGATACCAGGGCTGAATATCACACAAATTGTTCTACCATATTTTCCACACTATAAGTCGCTCTGGAGTATAAATCGCACCAACCAAAAAATGCATAATGAAGAAAAAATAAATAAAAATACATAAGTTGGCCAGAACTATAAGTCGCACTTTTTGGGGGAAATCAAATCAGAGACCAGGAACTGACATTTCATCCTAAAAGTCAAGTTCTAGTAAAAACAATAGAAGAGAGAACAACAGACTGTTAACGTCACATATGAACAGTTCTTCAGAACAAGTTTACAAAACTCTCCATCTCGCTCCAAATCACTAAATCCATTCAATTCTTCATCCTCGGTGTCACTTCTGAACAACTCGGCCTCATCCTCCGGAGGTAAACAGAGTGCCGCTTCCTCTTCTGTGTCGCTGTCAACAGACTCAGCATCAGTTCCAGTTAGAATTATTCTGGACTTTCTGAATCCCGACAGGATGGTTTTGGTTGTCTTTATAAGTTTGTTTAACTGTTAAATTGTTCAGTGGTGCAGAAGTAATGGTGCGATCGACTGACATGATACAGAGAGGACAGAGGCTCTTTCTGCAGGAGACATGTGCAGTAGAGTGAAGTGACAGTGGTACAGGAGGAACAGGAGCAGCAGATACTCACACATAAGACTAGAGCCTCTCAAGGCTGTCAGTGTGAACATTTTAATATATAAGTCACACAGAGTATAAGTTGCAGGAAACACCCAAACCATGAAAAAAGTGGGACTTACAGTCTGAAAAATACTCTAGTTGCGGACAGTGCCAGACTAACCTGCTCTTGTCTCCCCAGGGTGCAGGGCATGACAGAGGGGCTGGCACAGGTGCAGCTGGTTGTGCCCTCCCTCAGCACGGACGCCTCCCTCACGGCCACCATGCGCCGGACCAGCGGGTTGATCTTGGAGCTCAGCACTGACATCAAGCTGCCAGAGACCACCTCCACCCAGAGCATCACCTTCAATTACGGTACCACCATGTCCTGCACGATATGGCTGTTATCAACTACAATACATGCTTTTAACAGAGACAAAACCAGCATTAAAGGACCCATACTATGCTATTTTCTGATCTTTGCTATAATGTAGTTTCCTCATCACAAACAGATCTGGTGTTGTGTTTTGTTACATTCACACAGTTTGAACACACAAACCTGCACATTTAGGCTAAGTTCTACTCTCACAAAAACACTCTGCCCCACCTCATGATGTCATGCCATGTGGTAATGCTTCACTGTGTTTATAAACTCCATACACCTTCACTAGAATCATTTGGATAATTTCAGTCCTGGACCTGCCGATCTCTTTTGAACAAAAGGTAAAAGGAGCTGTTAACTTGAAAACTACTACTTCATGACATCACAAGGATACTGTGTGTGAAAGAAAATACAACTCTGGGTCTGTTTTTGAGGTAACAGCATAATAACATAAATTAAAGCTCACAAGAGTCAATTTTGCATAATATAGGACCTTTAAAATATGAACTTTGAACAGAATCCAACTATAAAAATATAAATGGCTAATCTAGTCATAATTGCAATCATTCAGTCCTAACAGTTGAATAAAGCCTGAGTAAAGCTTAAGTGTTGTTGGTCTTTCAGGAGAGGAGCAGGCAAATGTGAAGCTAATGTCCAGAGTGAACGCAGAGACCAAGGTGCTGGTGGACTACAGTAAAGCTGCCCGGGACTGGCTCCAGCTGTTTGTGAGCGACGTCATGGACCAGAGAGTGGTCAACACAGACATGAAATTGAGACACATCATCAGCAAGGGCCTGGAGGTACGCTCACACCACATATTCATGAGCAGACACGGTACTGCAATGTGTGTCTGATTATGGGAAATATGTGTGCAAACATTTATACAAACTCTTCCTGCAGTCTGAAGGAAGCCACACAAATGCAATCTTATGATGAATTAGAAATCAAATCTACCACATATAAAAACAACATATTGACTTTAAAAATATATAAATGGTTGGAATGGGTGATAAATGTGTTCCAGTATCGGTATCAATACTCATATTATTTATATTTATATTTTTTTGCCAGACTAATGAGTCAAAATGACTATTAATTAGTTGTATGTTACACAAACATGTAATACATTATTTTATATCCCAGATAAATACATTTTGCTATTATTGCTATGGATTAAAAGCAAATATCATTATCGGTCACTGCAGCAGGCCAAATATCAGATATCGAAATTCCCTCCTCAGTATCAGTGCATCTGTGCTCATTTTGTAAATATTTGTTTTTCTGTCTGCGTGAATCAATGAATAAATCCAATACTTAATGTATGTTTTTGATTCATATTGCTTCAGGCCGGTAATATCTGGAAGGACAAGATCATCAGCAACTCTCCCTATGTGGAGGAGATATTGGAAAACATATACGCAAAAATGGAAATGCCTGAAAACCTGTTCATGAACTTGTAAGTAGCCCATACAGTTACACACCTTTTCTTTTACACGACTACAGACTTAACTACATCTACTTGTTGACTTGTGACACGAGTACACATACTATGCTATACTATCAATCCTACCTAACACTACAGCTACCCACAGTGGGTCAAAAATATTGCTTGCAGATAAGGTTAACAAAAAATAAGTGATCAATATAAAAACCAGTTCCAAAACGAGTTCATTTGAAAAGTAAAAAAAACTGAAAAACAGATTACACAAATAGGATAAAATTGTTCTGTACTGGATAAAATCATCTTGGTCTGCATCAGAACTGAAATGTTAATGTGCTTAAAGATGGGGAATTATGCACAAAAGATTTTTGAGCTTTTAACCATGTTATAATGTTGTTCCTTCATCAAAAACATGAGGTTTTAGATGTTTGAGTATGTTAGCAATCTCTCCTGGGCCTTAATCGAAACTCCTTAGCTGTAAAATTCTGTGCAAGGCTCCGCCCACAAGCCTCACCCACGCACCCACACCACAATTTCACATAAACATACAAAAGCATGATGCAAAAGTTACACAGCAACTTGACAAACCTGAGTGACTTAGCATGTATAGTATGTAGCATTTTCAAATCACTAAAATGGTGATCTAAATATCTTATGTGTTGGTGGTTACTGATCTTTAAAAATATTCTTTTAATTGGTATCAAAATTACTATTGAATGTGGAGCTATTGAAATCAAGTTAGAAATGTGACTACTGTGACAACACTACTAATCTTACAGTTACTTTTATTAGCGCTATCCCAAATAGTACAGATGAATACACACTTTTTTTTTTACTTCATACCGTATATTTCACGTTCAAAATTAACCCATAGTTTCTCTAATCTTTCTCCCTCTAGTGAAAGCGACCTGATATACAACTTCAACCAAGACTCCATGATTCTCTACCTCCCAGTGCCTTTTGGCGGCAAGTCTTCAGAGGAGCTTCGCATCCCAGCCACAGTGACCATCCCTCGCATTAACATCCCCCAGATCAACGTGGACTTCAGCTCCAAGGACATCCCCCTCCCCACCTTCACCATGCCAACCGAGTATGAGCTCCTGGTCCCCCTTATGGGCAAAATGGAAATGACAAGCAAATTGGAGAGCAACCTGTACAACTGGAAGGCTGAGGTTTCTGTGGGCAACTACACCGAGGAGTCCCCCAGTTACAAGGCCCAATACACCATCATGGGAGAGGGCCCCATCCCCCTGCTGTCCTTCTCTAATGCTGGTGAGTCAGACTGTGTGGTTGAGGACAATGAGTTTCCAATCAAGACATTTGTATTATTTCCCTCATATATTTAAAATTCCACTGTGTGACACTTGAAAACTGGACAAAAATAAATGTTTTTGTATGGTTTTATAGCGCGCACACACACACACACACAAAAAAAAATAAAAAATGCATATTCACTCTGAGTGGGCTTGCATCTCCATAAACTTGACACTTACGGGCACCTCCTCCTGCATGTCTCCAAGGAAATGTTGTTCATTAGGCAAAAATGCTCCACAAAAATGTTCCACAGTATGAGAGAGAATTCATAAAAGTATGGTTTTAATATTGTATTTCCGTGGAATCGTGCAGGTCATCTTCATATTAGCAAACAAAATACATCCTTAAATGCAAAATTGGCTATAGTTAAGAAAATATAATTAGAAGCAGCAGTATAATATTTTAGATTATACGTTTTTTACACTACATGTGAATTACAGTATGTTCTTTGTATCTTTAACAGGAGCTGCCGAGCTCTTTGAGGAATTCAATGGCGTCACCACATCCCTGTCATTCGCTTTGAAGCATGAACTCCTCCGCTCTGAAATAAATATCCGCAACAACTTTGGCATCGCTGACAACATCTGGTCTGGAGGCAGGATCACCATGACCGCCAAAGCCCCAGGAGTTGATACTTCAATGAGCGCCTCCACACAGTTCACCCTCACACCCGTCATGCTTTCTGCAGACATGAATTCTGACTCTAGCGTAACCGTCGGACCAATCGAAGCCACCTGCACATCCCAGAATACCTTCTCCTTTGAGCCGGCTAAGAGGGAAGCTAAAGCCGAAAGCACTGTCAGGATCAACTCTGACATTGTGAAGCTAGCCAACAAAATCAAGATGTCCTACGCTAACAATGAGCTGATCATGGACTCAAACACCAACATGAACAGCGAGCCACTCAAGCATACCACCAAAATCAGCGTAGTGTACAAGGACGTTAACCTTATCATTAAGTCCGAATCTGTGACCAAAGCTAGTGAGGAGAAAATGCTGCGTAGTCAGATGGAGTTGCTCGCATCTAAAGAGCAAGTGTCATTGAAAATGGAAAACCAAGCTGATGATTCTTCAAACCGTGCTTACTCCCTGCTCACCGGCTCCCTAACCCCATCCGGTTTGGAGGTCAACTCAGATGCTTCGGTTAACGTCTTCTCCAGCCTGGCCTCTCACAAAGCTACCCTGACCTTTGATAGCACAGGCCTGACCACTAGCTGCACCACCACTGCCCAAGTTGCCCCTCTCACTTTTGAAAATGTCTTCCATGCAGGAGCAGACTCTGCTGGGGCTACAATGTCTCTTTCAACCAAAGGAGGCATCAGAGAGAACAAGGCTGAGCTGAATGTTGAGGGAAAAATCGCAAGCTCCGAAGTCTACCTTAACAGCATTATGAAGGGCAATGTCTTCGACCTAAACGGAAGGAACAGAGTGAACTTGAGGCTGAACGAAGATGGTCTGATTGCCTCAAACAACATGGTGGCCTCTTTCAACGAAATCAGCACCAAGAACTCCCACACTCTGTCTCTCACCATGAAGTCTCTCACTCTCCAATCCAAGACGGACAACTTCCTGAACAGTGAAAACACCTACATGCATGATATTACGGTCAATGTCGAGCGCTTCTCCACTAATGGCATCATGAAAAATGAGATGAAGATTGTCAACATAAACTTCATCAACGATGCACAGTTCAAAGCAGAGCCCTACAACATGGAGTTGATTGGTACAACTACAGGCAGATACAATGACGAGGAAATGCGCCATACCTACGAACTCAAGTTTGTTGAGATGAGCTTGTCAGCCAAATATAACACCAACGGCAAACTGCTGGAGCACCACGTCACACACGCTGCTGATCTGGAGATTTCTGGTCTGACTATGAAGTTCAACGATGCTGCTACCATAAACTCCCCAATCCTGCGCTTCGACAGCACCTTCAAATCCAGCGCAGCACCCTTCATGCTGAACGTTGATGCCATCTGCAACTCCAATGTCGATTACAACTTCTACGGGGAGAAAAACGCCCAAATGTATGGCAAATTTTTGATGAAAGCCGAGCCACTGATGTTTACCCATGCTTTGGAACACAGAGCCTCTGCCAACATGAAAAACACACAGGGAGAACTGACCGTCCAGGCCAGCATGGACAATAAGTTTGATAGCTTGGTCACACTGAAAGAGCAAAGTGTCAACCTGAAAATTACATCCAATGTGAATGAGCACACTTTCAATCATGAATTAAATGCCTTCAACAACGCAGAGAAAGTTGGTGTTGAGATGACCAATGCTGCATCTACGTCACTATTAGCTGAGAAAAACAGAGACTATAGCCTTTCTGGTTTCGTGGTCTATGAGAAGAATGGAGAAAGCCACATCATGATCCCTTTCATTGAGTATTTGCCAGCAGTGGTTGAAAACATCAGAAACGCAATGATTAGCATTATGGACCGAGGCATCAATGGCGTGAAAGACCTTGACAACAAGTACCAAATTAGCACAAGACTTCACAGGAAAATCACAGAGCTGAAAGAGGTCATTGACAACTTTGATGCAAACCTTTTTGTCCAAGATATCAAGAAGTTCCTCAGCTCCATCGAAAGCTCAATCACCAATCTGACCTCCAAGTTCCCCAAGGACAAAGTTGTGGCTATGCTGAAATCCGTCAAGGAGATGATCATGACTTGGATGAAGAAATACAACCTGGTCGAGAGGTTCAACATCTTATATGGCAAAATGGAGGAGATCTTGTCCAATTATGAAGTGGAGAAAATGATTGGTGCTTTTATGGATGAATTGGTAAAGATCATGAAGCAGTACCAAGTGCGGGAGAAAATTCAAACCATCTTCACTGCTGTTAAGTCCATCGACATCAAGCCAGTCATCAGTAGAGTGATGCTGCCAGTTCAGGGTTTGTTAGAGGAACTGTACGCTGTTGACTTCAAGCAATTTATCGAAGATATTAGCGACTTTGTCTTGAGAATGCTGCAGAATGTCAGATCTTTTGACTATGAGACACTGTCCAGAGAGGTGACCGAGACCCTGAAAGAGATGAGCGCTGTTCCATGTCTAGGAAAGCTGTTGGGAGAAGTCAAAGTGGTTTCCCCGCATTACAAGATGAAGACCAATATCAACTTTGAGAATAACACAGTTAGCTCAGACACCCCAGACTTCCTGTTCAGCCTTAAATCGAATGCTGAGTCCATACTGAAACCACTTGAATACACTCTTGATGCCTCTGCTAATATCGGCCTGCCAAGAATGAGCCATTTGACTGCTGCTGAAAGCATCAAGTTCGACCATTATGCATTTGAGCTGGACTACCAAGCTTCCGCAAGTATCTACAGGCACTCTGCTTTGGCATCTGCTGAAACAACTGCAAAGGCTGACACTGAGCTGTACAAGGGAGAGTTCATCAACAAAGCTTCCCTCACCATGGAGAGTGGTGTCTCTTCCAAAATGGAGACCAACTACAAACAAGACGTTCGATTCCCACCTCTTAGAATCTTCACCGACATGGTCCTGAACCAAATTACAACTCTGGAGATACAGGATGGCAGTGCTACTTTGAGACTGGAGAATGCTGCTGATGGTAAAGTGAACAGTGATGAGGCCAACCATAAGTCCGACATGGAAGTTGTTTTTGATCTCCATACGGCTAAGATCTCCTTCAGTGGAGCTACCGGTGCTAACAGCATTAAAGTTATTGAGAAACTGAACGCAGACATTTGCATCTTCCGACACCTTATCCTTGATGCAAAGATGGAAACTGAAGCACCATTCATTAAAAACAATGTCGCAGAGGTTAAATTCCAGGCAAAGGCCGAGGACATGAGCATTGACTTCACCGCCTCCCACAATGCAGAGCTTGTTGGTGAAATTGAAGGAAAGCTTATTAAATTGATCATATCCTTGGTCATTCCAGATGATGTCGTCGAACCTTGGAAGCTCTCAGGCAAAGCAGATCTCCAAAATGTCTTATCTCTTGCCCTGAACCCGATGGAGCAGAGGGCTAGCTGGACAAGCCTGGCTCGATTCAACCAGTACAAATACTCCCATCTGTTTAACATGGAAAACATAGAGAGAGAAATAAACATTGTGTACGAAATCAATGGAGAGGCCAATCTGGATGTGCTAAAAAAACGAGTTACTATCCCTGAAATTGAACTGCCATATTTGGATATCACTATCCCGAGAATGGACGACGTTTCTCTGTGGGAGGATGCAGGTCTCGGCGATTTCTTTATCACCACCCAGCAAACTCTTGACGTCAACGGCAATTTGAAGTACGCGAAAAACCCAGACATGATCATCATCAATGTGGAACCTGTCATCAATGCCATCAACAGGAACACCAGAGCTTTCCACAAATACATGCTTATAGGAAAAGACAAAGCCGCTACCCTTCTTGCTCAAACTTATGGTAAAGCAAGAGATGAGTATGAGAAGTACAGTATGGAGCTGCCTAAGACAATCACGATCCCAGCACACAGGATCCCAGTCGTAAATGTTGAAATGTCCACCTACACCATCCCTCTGCCTGATGCTACCTTGGTCAAAATGCCATCTTTCCACATTCCGTCTGCTCTGAGCAAACTGACCTTCCCCAAAGTTACCCTGCCAGAAATTAACAGCATCAAGATCCCACGTTTGGGAGACATGACATACGAGTTCTCCATGAAGACTGCAATGCTGACACTCAAAACTAACGCTGGCCTTGACAACACTGAAGAAGCTGTGACCATGAAGCTGGATGCTACCGCAACGTCTGAGTTTGAGATACTCAATGGAAATCTTGACACCACTGTTGTTATCAAGACCAACGATGCGCTGAAGATGAATTCCAATATGGCAGCAAGGCACGCTATGGTAGAGTTCAACCACAACAACGCTATCATCCTTTATCCCACCGTGGAACTTGAAATGACCAACTCCTTGATGCTTCTAACGTCCTACAACCTTGAGCAGTCCGTGCAGGTCAACAGAAACAATGGTCTGCTGGTTTCCCTGTCCAATCCATCCGGACTCATCGGAGCTCAGATCAGTCCCAGATCCCTGACTGCTGTGAAGGCTAGAGTCTACGGACGCTACCCGGTAAGGATTACACCTGTTATAGAGTCACAATGGACATATTATTAGTAGTAGTAACATCTGAAGTAATACAGTTTTGACTAACAGCTGCTATAATCGTTGGATTATTTTCAGTATTATTAGTAGTATCAGCCTTACTTTTACAGCTGTTTACGTATTGGCATTGCAGTCATATAGGCCTAAACAGATCAAATAATTGGTTGTTATAATATTGTAGTAGAATTGGCAAGATTCAGATTAACGTGAGTAGCAGTAGTAGCTGTGACTATAGCCTTTTACAATAGTAGTAGTAGGAGTAGTAGTACTAGTAGCTGCAGTTGTAGTTCTACTGTGTAAGATTGATTGAAGTTGTCCTGTTAACAGTATTCATTAAAAACACTAGTACACTCAACACAATTGGCAGAAATATCACTTTTTTTGTAGGCTAGTATTTTGTGAACTAACAATTAAAATGATTGTAGATTTTGGAGTTGTTAGTCTGGTTATTATTAAGGTGTATGTATTTGTGTTTGTATTTTGTTTTCTATTTTATTGTAATTGTTTCCAAAGATTTACTCATGTTTTCTTTGTTTATTTCTTTTCAGTCTGAAGATGACACTGACATCGTGGCCCTCGAGCTGTCTGTGGGCAAGAGCCTGAACATCCAGGCCAACTGGAACATGGAGATACCTTATGATACCATGCTTGCGATTCAAGATGAAATGCCAAGTATAAACACCTATGTCCATGCTGGTGGTAATCTTTATAGAAATGTGCAGCGCCAAGCAGCCAAAGTTAGCAAGACTGTGGCTAAGTCCTTTGAGAAAGCTAAAGACGAGGGTGTAGCGATGTTCAGACAGACCATTGAAACCGTCTCTGCTATGGAACCCTATGAATACATGACAACCTTTGCAGATGATGCTATTTTGAGCCTCAGAACTTGCCGTACCAGAGTCACCATGATTTTAGATGCTGTTGTGAAATTCCTTGGAGAAACCAAATTCCAACTTCCTGGTTATACTGAGAAAGTTACCGGACTCGAACTGTACAAAATTGGTGCAAAATTTGTCTCTGATGTCTCCAAAGAAGCTATCGATAGGATTCCAAATTACATCACCTCAGTGTTCACTCCAGTAATTGAGTATTTTAAAACAATAGAATTCCAGTTTTCTAACCATATTGTAAGAGGCAGTGAGATTCTGGAAGACTTTACCGTATTTCTTAGCAGACTGCAGGAACAAGTTAAAATCATTGTTAACAAAATCGCCAATTACCCACTTGAGGAAATCTTCAAACATATAAATTCTCTTTCACAATTTGTTACTCTGCAAGCCGAAAATGTTGTCGAAATGTTCCGATCTGTAGACGTGGACCGAATGACCAATTTCCTTAACGAGGTTTATGAAGATGTGGTTAATTCCCAGGTTTTGAAAAATATCATAAAACAGTTAGAGACAGTATACTTGATTATGTGGGAGTACAGCAGAACAGTTCAAACAAGATTCCAAAACATGATGGATGACTTTTCCACTGATCAATTTAAAAAGGACATCGACACTAACATCAACAGAATGGTCAAAAGTATGAATGCCTTCCAAAATAATATCATTGAAACTTTAAAAGAAGAAACTAGCTCCATAGACAGATATGTTAAAATGGGTGACAGAAATATGGAAATTGACATACCTTTCCCATTTGTGAACTGAGTGACCTCCAACTGTGATGCTGTAGAATCCAACATGGCATCTGGGCATTGGCAGTAACGTTGTATGTTGATAAAGCTTAAAGTGTTAACTCCTTTTTTAAATGTTTAATTGTTTTGTTCTCAGTATGCAGTGGTAGCGGTCACATTTGTGTCTTGTATTATTTAAAAAAACAATGTGTGTGATCAATAAAGGGTTTGTACTGTCTGCAAACTGTCTATCTCTGTCTCTTTTAGTGCATTTAGTATACTTACTTAGAAACCTGGGCTGTGGTTAACAAATATTTAATATATTTCACTCAAGTAAGTGTAATGTTACTTGAAATCACTCAAGTAAAAGTAAAAGTGTTTAGGAAAACTATTACTCAAGTAAAAAAAGTAGCTCTGATTTATAATTTAAGTTGGTGTAACTTGAAGGATAAAACATAAAGTGATGCATAAAATCTGGTATTTTCATAGGACAAAAATGACAAACTAAATCTGAAGGAACTGCAAGAAACACAAATGTTTAAGTCATTTCAGATTGTCAACATAAACTTTTGTCACTTGTAGACATACTCACAGTGTGAAGAGTATCCAAAACTTTTACTCTAGTAAGAGTACTACTACTTCAGTACAAATATTTCTCAAGTAGGAATAAAAGTATGTTGCTGGAAAAATACTCTGAAAAGTACAATTTCTGTTAGAAGTTAATCAAGTAAATGTAAATAAACATTACCCACCATAAAATCATTGAGGTTTGATAAAGCTAAACAGGCAGCAATCATGTTGTAACTGTAATGTGTGAATATTCTGCTCAAGAACTCGTGCAAACTTATGATTGAGCTTTTTATATTTGTTCTTTATCTAATGTCTGTGCTCCACCAGACTAATGTATTTTCCGGGCTATTAGACACGCTCTTAAGCCTCTAACCCCTTATTTTTTTAATTTTTTATTTATTTGAGGCAGGGACAGTGTACAATTTTTGCATTTACCTTAACAGGAAAGATGCACTGTACATCAGGTTGTAGCATCAGTGCTAATTTCCACCTGTAGTCCCTGGACAGCTTCATTGATTTATTGTATTTAACTGACCTAAACTATCAACTGTTTTTGGAGACCTATGTAGCATCAAAAAACAGCTGCGCGCCCCGCAATCCAGAGCGCCCTATACACGAATCCACTCGGGTGTCCCAGCACGACTTCAGTAAACGACAAAGCTGCACCACCCGCAGAACACACAAACACACACGGAGCAGACAGCGACCGCACAACCAAAAACACAACCACAGACACACTCATCACTCCACGTCGACGAGAACAGAGGAACGAACCGAAAAAGCGAGTCCAATGTGCCACTTCGGCTACATTCAGACTGCAGGGCTTAACGCTCAATTCCGATTTTTTTGTGAAATCCGATGTTTTTGCGAGGTCGTTCGCTTTTCCAATTAAATGTGACTTGTATGTGATCCCCTGTGTGAACGTTAAATGGCTCGAAAGTGTCCCGCATGTGCACTGGAGGACACGATGGCATCAACCGCATGCTCTGTGTTTATGGAAGTTGTCCAAACATGGACGCAAGCATTGAGCACCTGGAGATTTTAAAGTTCCTCTTGTACCAGAACCAGAACATGAACAACTTACTTGTTTTAAAGAGGAGATTGAGAAGGAGAAGGACGAGGTTTTTGGTCGTGGCGTTTTGTAGGACAGTGGCAGAGACGTCCGTTGAAAGGAACGTGTGGATGCGGCAACGTAGCCAAGAGTGGTGAGTGGTGATGTGCTTCGCTTCAGTGACACGGCGTTCATTAACAATTTTCACCTACTTCAGCGCAGAATAGTGACGTTTGTGGCTTGTTGATAACGTGTAGGTCGAATGAATGCTCTTTGGCCTTAGACACTGAAGTCACATGTCAAAAGATCAGATATGTATCGGTTTCAGGACCACATATCCAAGTGGCCTGGGTCACATTCAAAAAAATCTGATCTGTGTCGATCAGTCATTAAAAGATCGGATACAGGTCACATAGAGGCCAAAAAATCGGATTTGGGTCACTTCAGGCTGCAGTCTGAACGCAGCTTATTTGTGCATCCAATAATGCAGCAGGAATTTACCATTATCAGGTGTTTGTGTTTGATCGCTATAGTGTTTCTTGCCTCCGACCAAAATATTTCCCAGCATGCAATGCAGGCTTTTAATAACAATGACATCAGCTGAAACTCGCCTATACTTCTTTACTCTTACCTGAACAATTTGTTGGACCACTACTTTGTACTTCTACTTGAGTAATATTATTTTTACTTGTTACTTACTTGTTACTTCAGTTTTCCACATCTGGAAAACATGGACATTTTCAGTTGAGGTGGAGTCTGTATAAAAGTTTTTGAAGGATGACTTGGGAAGAGTGGCAAAAATAGTTCAAAATAAATAATGATATACTGTTGTTTCTTAAAGGTGCACTATGGAACCTTTCTGGAGATAACAAACAGCTCGATCTTGCACTGATTCAATTCAATGTGTTTGTACAGCTCAGAAAGACTTTGAAAAACATGCATCTGATTGTGATGAATTTACTCGCCATGACAACGCCCAGAGAGAAAAGTTACATAGTAGAGCTTTAAAATGATATTACCCAAGAATAAAAGACAATCTTCCTTTGAGAAAAGAGCAGAGTGACTTTGCACAGGCCCCACGGAGCAGACGGAGAGAGGAGGGGCCCCAGCACAATGCATTCCAGTGTGGAGCGTCAGCACAACTCAGCAACACAGAACACACACAGAAGACACACAATAACACACACACACACACACACAACACACACAGACACACACACAATAACACACACACAACACACACAGAAGACACACACAGAAGACACACACAATAACACACACAACAACACAACAACACACACACACACACACAACACACATACAACACAACACACACAACAACACACACAACACACATACAACACAAACACAACACACACAACAACACACACACAACACACACAGAAGATGCACACAGAACACACACAGAAGACACACACACAACACACAGGAGACACACAGACAGAACACACAAACACACAGAGAACACACACACAACAACACACACACAAGAACACACAAACAAACACAGAACACACACACACAGACACAAACACACACAGGAACACAACACACACACACACACACACACACACACACATCAAAGCAGATATGGCTGTAGGAGGAGCTGGAGGCCCATGTCCATAACAGTTGTACAGTTGTAGGGACTATTATCTGTTACATAAGATTGAGTTGTTGTACAGTTGTAGGGAGTATTATCTGTTCCATAAAGGTGAGTTGTTGTTCAGTTGTAGGGAGTATTATCTGTTCCATAAAGGTGAGTTGTTGTTCAGTTGTAGGGAGTATTATCTGTTACATAAGGGTTGTACAGTTGTATGGAGTATGGTACAAGTGTATCTATCACTGTTTGAGTGGAGCTGTAGGAGCCTGTTGGAGAATGAGCTCCTCTGTCCCTTTATAGTCTGGTGCAGTGGGTGAGTTGTTGTACAGTTGTAGGGAGTATTATCTGTCCATCTATAGTCTGGTGCAGAGAGCAGGAGTGTCCATGATGGAAAGCAGTTTGTCCAGTGTCCTTCTGTCCCTAAAGCAGCTTTACGGATCAGTTTGTCAATCCACTCAATGTCCCTTTTGCTGCTGCTGCTCCTCCAGCAAACCACTGCCAAGTACAGGGTGCTGGCCACCACAAACTGGTAGAAGATCTCCATTAAAAGACCTGAGCTTTCTCAGGAAGTAGAGTCTACTCATGTCCTTCTTGTACACAGAATTACTGTTGTCCCTCCATTCCAGTCTACTGTTCACCTGGATACCAAGGTACTTGTAACAGTCCACTAGTTGCACGTCATGGCCTTGGATGGTGATGGGCTCCACTGGTGTCCTCTTTCTTCTGAAGTCAGTCACCAGTTCCTTGGTCTTGTCAACGTTCAGGGCAGATGGTTTGCCTGGGACCATTCCACAAAGTTTGCAATCAGTGTCCTGTCCTCCAGCTCCTGTCCATCTCTGATACACCAACCACTGCAGAGTCATCAGAGAACTTCTGTAGATGGCAGAACCCGGAGCTGTACTGGAAATCAGAGGTGTACAGAGTGAACAGAAATGGAGACAGAACTGTACCCTGGGGGACACCTACATTACTGACCACTGTATCAGACAGGGTGCTCCCTGTCACACATACTGAGGCCTGCCTGACAGGTAGTCAGTAATCCAGGAGACAATGGAGGAGCTGACACCCATCCTGAACAGCTTCTCACTCATCAGAAAGGGCTGGACTGTGTTAAAGGCACTGGAGAAATTGAAAAACAATATTCTCACAGAGCCCTTAACACTATCCAGGTGTGAGTGAGCAGGCTGCAGAAGACACATTACAGCATCTTCCACACATAAATGCACTGATAGGTAAACTGTAGAGGATCCAGGGAAGGTGCCACCAGGGGTCTGAGCTGAGCCAGAACAAGTCTCTCAAATACTTTCATATCAAGAGACGTCAAAGCAATTGGTCTGAAGTCAATAAGTCCAGATGGTACAGGCTTCTTGGGCAATGGCACAATGCAGGAGGTCTTCCACAGCATTGGTATCCTTTCAAGCTTCAGACTCAGGGTGAAGAGAAAGTGTAGGATCCCAGTGAGCTGTGCTGCACATGTCCTCAGCACACGAGGGTTGACTTGTGTATAGGGGAGAGTTGTGTTCAGTTTGTCCACTTTCGTCCAGGACGGCACACTGATAGCAGCATATCTCAAGCTCTCCTCAACTTTTACAAGTCACCAGCCCAAACAAAGCTTCAGCTCCCTGTTCTCATCGGATACGTGGTAAGTAGTCGCTGTTAGTGGTCACTGTAACTCTGAAAACGAGACACAAATGAAAAAAAATTCACACTGGACTGCTCTGTCAACATGTTTTGGTCCGTAATGTTGTTTCTACACACAACTCATGAGTTTTATGATTGTACTACTTGTTACTTCAAAATAATATGATTTAAGTACATGTACATAGTGTTTCAACAAGTTACTCAAGTAAGAGTAAAAGGTATTTGGGAAAACTAGTTCTCAAGTAAAAGTAATTGTAGATTAACTGTCTGGACATAACACCTAATTTGCAAATTGTAGCTTGAAGTGAAAAAATATTTCAAAATGCACATGGTGTATTCAAAGACCAGATTGT